AAAAAAAAAAAAAATATTACATTGAAATCAAAATGTTGGAAAAAAATATTTTGAAATAAGTTTTGAAAAAACAATTGTGAAAATAAAAATTTTGAAAAAAAAAATATAATATTAAAAAAAAACCATTTTGAAAACTATTTTGAAAAAATATATTATTTTTAAAAAAAATTTCGAAAAAATCAGATTAGATAAAAAAAAATTTAGAAAATAGAAAAATTATTTTGAAAACTTGAAAATAACCATACTGAAAAAAAATATAATTTTGAAACCAAAAATGTTTGAAAAAAATATTATTTTGAAAAAGTGATTTCGAAGTTATTTCTTTTTTCATTTTTTTTTCAAATATTATATATTTGTTATGAAAAAAAATTAAAACTATTTTGAAAAAAAAACATTATGTAACTAATTGAAAAAAAAATTATATTTTGAAAAAAAAAAATTGGTTTTTCAAAATGGTTATTTTCAAGCAATCAAAAATTTTTGTATCAAAATAATTTTTCTATTTTCTGATTTTTTCAAAATTTTTTTTAATAATATAATTTTTGAAAATAGTTTTCAAAATGATTTTTTTTTCGAAATAACTTTTTCAAACTTCAAAATTGTTGAAAATCCATTTTGAAGATAAATATTATATTATTTCAAAAAAAAAATTAAAAAAAAAAAATTTTGAAAATATCAACTTTGATACAAAATTTAGAAAATAAAAAAATATTTTTAATACTTGAAAATAACCATTTTTAAAAAATTTTAGAAAAATTATTCAGAAAAACATATTTTGAAGTTGGGAAATGTTATTTCGAAAACTATTTAAAAAAAATATATTGTTCTGGCGAGGAAAAGACTTAACAGTGGACTGTATAATTTTTGTATTTAGGTTTTATTTTAGTGTAAAACAATGTTATAAATATTTAAGTAAATTTGTGTATGATGTCTATCTGTGCAAGTCTGCCTGGGTAGGTCTTGCTGCAGAAGGCTCCGTTGAACACACTGACCGATTTAGTGCTCCGCACTCATATTTATACCCTGGTCTAGCCCACCGCGTCGTCGCAGGAGCCACCCATGAAATGTCGTTGGTTGGTCTTTGGGCGTGGTTGAACGGCGGCGATAACGCTGGTTGGCTGCTGCTCTCGAAGCCACGCCCATAACCTTCTGTTGCCATAAGCGGTCCCTACACGATCAATAATATTGCACAATAATCGATATTGCGCAATATTATTGACAGTCTAGTATAGATATTGAAGGATTGTACAATATATTGAAGAAATCAAACTGGGTTGGAAATTTTTTGTACAATACACAATATTATTGAACGTTTGAATATGATATTGTGCAAAATTACGCAATATTTAGTATCATATCATATCGGTTGTGAAGCCACACGTGTTGTGTCGTGTTGCTACAGGTTTATATTTTTCATGCTATTGATACACTAACACTATATCATTTTTCTATAATTATAATAAGATAACTATAATAAGACATAAAATATTAGTTGACATAATTCTTAAAGACATAATAAGAATTATGTCAACTAAAATGGAAGAACGTTCGTTTATAATCGAATGTATTAATTTGTATCGAGATCTGCCGGCACTTTGGAATGTCAAAAGTAAGGATTATTCCAATCGTAATAAAAAAAATGATTCCTATGAAACGTTAGTAACGAAATATAAAGAAAAATATCCACAAGCCACTAAGGAAGACGTTAAGAAAAAAATGAATGCATTAAGAACAAATTGTCGTAAAGAATTCAAAAAGGTTAGTACACACAATATATTTACATAACTATATTATTATATTTTATTATAGACTTATAGTATCTATTTATATTGATGTCTGATATACAAAATGTTCAAAATTCAAATCTATTTACCTAAGTTTGGATAATAATATAATGTTAGTAAAACTTTATATATAATATATATACATTTATTTATTTATATTTATTTAATCATAAACACCAATCAAAAACATAAAACAATACCAAAAAGTATACATGATAGTATGATACTCCTCCAAAATAAGCATAGATTGTGTTTGGAATTAGTGAGTTCAAAAAAAGTCTAATAATAGATTAATAATAATACATGTTTAAAAAAAAATATTATGATAGTGGTAAAATAAAAAAAATATGTAATTAATAAATAATAATATAAAGTACTTATTATAATCATTTCATATTGTTATATTTAATTTACTAGGTTAAAAGTTCGAAAAAATCTGGTGCTGGATCGGAAGACATATATGAACCATGTTTATGGTATTATAATGAAATGTTATTTTTACAAGACCAAGAGACACCGAGTGACTCAATAAGTACAATGGATAGTGATATTGAAAATGACGAAGAAATCAATCATAGCACAGTTGATGTAAGTATTTTATTATTATATTATCATTATTTACATTTTTTATCAATACACATCAATTATTCATACAATAAATTTGTCTTGCCATGGTATTTTTCCTTCGTTATTAAAGTATTGACAATAAGTATTTCTTATATCTTTAGCTAACTCTGTAGAATTTCTGTTATTTCCATGTTGTAAGTTAATTAATGGTTCCTGAGTTCTCCAAGACCCCTCGATAATTCTCCCTTCTTCTTCATACTCCATGTCCATTGAACCTTGGCAAATATATGATGCTGACTTTCTTAAATAATTATGTAGAAAACAACAAGCTAACACAATTTTTTTAGCTTTATCAGTATCTACTTGTATTGGTCTTTGGAACACACCAAAACGCGAATTCAAAATTCCAAAAGCGTTTTCAACAATTCGTCTTGCCCGACTTAGACGATAATTAAAAATTCTTTGTTCCTTGGTCAAATTGGTTTGACTATAAGGCTTAAGTAAATTTTCACTCATAGCAAATGCATCATCTGCTACAAACAAATATGGGAGTGTATAACTTGTATTAGTCAATAAATCTGGTTTTGGAATATTTAATGTTTTATTATTTAACATATTTCCAAATTTAGTATAACTAATAACACCCCCATCTGATATGCGACCGTTTATGCCAACATCAACCATCATAAATTTGTAATCTGCATCAACTACAGCCATTAGCACTATACTAAACGTATTTTTATAATTAAAATAAAATGATCCGCTGTTTGGAGGTTTTCTTATTTCAACATGTTTTCCGTCCAGTGCTCCCACGCAGTGTGGAAAATTCCACTTTTGTTCGAAATCTTTTGCTATTTGCACCCATTCTGCTTCCGTTTTTGGAATCTTAAAACAAAAAAGGTATTAATTATTTTTTTATTTAGGAAACTGAAGAATTGTTTACAATTCCAAAAGTAAAAAGAAAACATCAAAAGCAACAGTCGCCACAGGAAGAACTTGTAGGATTAGCTTGTAAGCGTTTACGTCAGACGGAAGATAATGATGAAATTAAAATAGCTATTGCTTGGGCATCGGAACTTCAAAAAATGAATGCCCAACAACAAATTTTTGCAAAAAAGGCTATCAACGACATTTTATTTGAAGGTCAAATGGGTACATTACATCGAAATGCTATTCAAATAGTATCAGCTTCAACTAGATCATCAACCCCGTTCTATAGTAATACTCCAACACCCTACAGTCTTTATTCTTCAACAAATAGTGGCCCCCCTTCTATTGAAACAAATGACATGCCATGTACTTATCAGACATTGACTATTGATATTCCAAACAATTATTCTACAATTGAGAATAAAACCTCCACAGCTTCAGATTTTTTTCAAACATTTCAATAACATAAATTTAAAGTTTGTTAAATAAAGTTTAATAACATAAAATAAATGTATGTTTTTTATATAAAAAATGTCAATTGAATAAATTTAGTTTGTTAAATAAAGTTTAATAATATAAAATAAATGTATGTTTTCTTACCTTAATATATGTTTTCAAACTAGTAATAATAGCTTGACAAGTTTCTAGTACAATACTACTAATGGACTGTGGTGAAATTGCACTCAAAAATTTCAGGTCTTCGAACGTATTACCAGTGGCAAGGTACCGTAATGTTATAGATAGTCTCTCATTGACAGAAATAGCTTCCCTCATTATCGTATTCTGTTTTTGGATATGTGGAGTTACAAGCTATAATGGATAATACAATTATTGTACAGTAAAGTAAATTATACTTATAAAATATGGGTAATTCCACGTACTTTCAATAAATTCTCATAAGATGTAGCATCCATTCGTAAAAAATTCCTATCATCTGGTTCAGTCATTCGTAGACAGTTCAATAATTTTTCATGACTATATTGTGCTCTTTGTTTATACCACTCTTTCATCCAACGTCTTCTTTTATTTTGTTTGGGTTTTTTTTGGTTCAATCCAAATGCTACTGCGATGCAAATTAATTCGGTATCGTTAAGATACATATTTAAAACTATAATAATATAGTTATAATATAATTTATAGCAAATGGTAAATGATACTGATTTCAACTGACACAACGTAAACAACACAAGCGGTCATACACAGCGGTACTACACCTGACCTGGCCAACGAATTCAACTGAATATTGTGCAATAATATTGAGAGGTTTGGATGAAATTAATATTGAACAAAATATTGACACAATTTTATTGACTCAATATTATTGAACGTGTAGGGGCCGCTATAAGCTTATTTATTCATTTTTGCCGAATACGTGGGTCATCCAGTGGCGGACTTAGGGTTTTCTCATTGGGGGGGTTAGGAAACAAACAAATATTATATATTTGTTATGAAAAAAAAATTAAAACTATTTTGAAAAAAAACATGTAATTCATCGAAAAAAATTATATTTTGAAAAAAAAATAAATTGAAAAAAAATAAATATATTAACAAAATTATTTTTTTTTTCAAAGAATTTTTTTTTTCAAAATTATTTTTTTCAAATTATTTTTTTTTTCAAAATTATTTTTGTTTTTAATCTTTTTCTAATTTTAAATACGTAAATTTCATTAATATGCACTTGAGATCGTGATTAAAATGTTGATTACCATTTCATTATTGGAAAAATTATTAGTTGTAATATTAAGAGAAACAAAAATACCTCATATAAATTATTGTTACTAGCAAATACTAGTATGAGTAAAAATTTGACGGACAAACAATGATAATTATTATAGGTGACATAGCCCCCTGAAAATACCCGAATGCGCTATATTAAGCCAATATATGCATCTTACAATCCTAGACCATTCGTTACAGATACCTACTAACAGGGCATAGACACTGTGTGTAATGGCAAAATCTGGTGACTGTGGCCTTGAACACGGTCTCTAGAAGGGCGTGGCATGCGTTATCAGTTATCACTTAAATAAATCATATCATTATTATGGCACAAAAATAATAAGAATAACACTGGTCATTGCGTGGTTTGGTTGTTTCCGTTTTTATAATTCCGTAACTTAGAGGGATACACGTTGCTAATACATTCTATCAGATTACGGATACGGTACAATTTCCAATACTTCAACCGTAGGGATACAGTAACCCGATCAGCTGATCGAGTGTCTATTCTATATTGTTCTGTGCTACTAGTTGTCCTGTATTGTCATAAATCTAATATATAGTATTTGTTATTAAAATATTATTAGATAGTTATTTATTGGGCAGCACATTACAACAGTTGGTTACCTTATTTCGATTTTGAATTTAATACAGGTTGAATATAAATGTTTGATACCAGGTTCGAATGCGTAGGTTGCATATTCTAAGTTCCTGTTTTAAAGTGGGGTGGGCCATCTTCAAGCACTTCACATTGTAGTCAATATAACATGTATATAATATGTTTTGAATACTCGAAATTTGAAATTAATTAAAATAAAACTTCTCTTAATGATAAATATAATGATGATATTTTATTATTTTAAAATTTTAATTAAGAGGACGTGATACCGCCGTGTGTTGTCTCCGTCTTACAAGTGCGTAACATACTACATTTTAAGCTCAGCAGACCACGTTTAGCCTAGTTAGGTTAAAAATTAGAGTGAATTGACGTCTTATAAAAATATATTAAAATATAATAAAAAAAAAAAAAATTTTTTCTGAAAACATTGTGTATCAATAACTAATAAATACAATTAATAAAAATAATCAATATATAACTATAAAAAAAATAAATAATAATAATGATTATTACAAATGAATAGGTATAGGATATGCTTATATTCTATATATACATAGAATTGTCCATGTGGCGATTGTAATCTGGTTTTTTCGTGTAAATATTATCAACATGTAAAGGCCCGAATAAAAATAATATGCTTAGAACATCACATTTCTAGTCTTCAGATACATTTACCATTACCCTGAGGACACCACAATTAGGCGATTCTCATTATTCTTAAGGGGGAGGGGGACCGAGTGGGCGTCAGTACTCAGTCCTAATGCGGTTCGAATCCCGACCATGGGTGACATCGCTGGCTGGGCAGACAACTGTCTAGGCGGCGAGACCGCCATCCCCCAACCGGGTATGACAGAAACCTGCGGGTGCCCAACTAGAAATTCTGCCTAAGAGGCGTTCAAATTTTTCTTAAAAAATTATTCCGTTTTATTTTCATTTTCATATCATTAAAATTCGTTATACCAGTATTAAATAATAGGTGTATATAATATAACATGTATATACGTTATGTACATTACCTATTTATTATTTTCAGATTAAATGATGTTGTGCTTATTTTAATTTATCTGTAATAATTATCGGGCCGAGTTTAGAACAGAAAAGAAAATCGTGGACCCATTTACAGTTGACCAGGTCATGTTGAGTTACAGATTGAATTAATTATCGCGAAGTGGATAAGACGATGGGTCTGGACGGTCGTGTAGATAACGATTTAACCTAAGGATTTATTAATATACCGCTATCATTTAAATATAATATATTTATCTCTCTATATTATAGAGAGATTAAAAACACGTCAGGCTGTGACGTTTATCTGTCTTTGAAGGACGGTCGTTCCCCATAATTCGTCGTTATCGTAATTTTATTATAATAAAATTAATAATAATTATGTTATCAATTTTTTTCGTTTAATAAGTTTATCTATAGTTTATTGCCATGAAAACTTATTGTCATGATACTATATTTTATAAATACTATTATTATTTTTAACTTTTTAATTTGATGTAGGTAATTGTCATTTATCCTGTGTGGTGAAGGCGATCTTAGATTTTAAAGTGAATGGAATTTTAGAAAATATATAATACACTATATGGGCGAATCATGTTATAGTTATTATTTTATTTTGAATTGTTTACCATTTTATAGTTCATTGTGAATCATAATATTCAATGTGTACTTACGTCCGAGTTCAAAACGATGGTTCCTTCTTCTCAAAGCCTTGTGAATATTTAAAGTAAAATTAACTGAAAACCTTTTAATAATCATGTACGGGTGTTTTACCACACAAACAACCAAATTTTTCAATTTTATTCCTTTCTTATATTTTGCCTTTAGGGTGTTTTTTTAATCATTCCACTCATTAAAACGAAAACGAATAAACGTAGCAAGTAATTTATTGTACTAAAATTATTAACGGCTATAATTTAATTAATCAAAATTTTATTTGAATTATTCTCTTATAGTAAAGAAAACCATCTTCAGGGCACTAAATTGAACAACTGCACTATACATTGTAAATGCGATTAACGTAAATTTATAATCATAATTCATTTTTCAATTTTCATTAATTATTTGTCATATAATACGGTGAAGGGGGAGGCTGATCGCCCCCTACATTGGGTGCCTGAGTACACATTAGTCACCCTACCGAGTGAACCATTAGCGTTATGGTAATACTCAAGACCCTGAGCACAAGTCAGCCGCCTAGTATGGTTCTTCACTTGAATAGAATATACTTTATATAGCATAAAAATTATCTAACTATGAATCATTATGTAAGTATTGATTACCTAAATTTATAAATCGAAACATTTTAATGTTAATACATTTTGAAAACAATTGTAGGTACTTAGTAGTAGTAGTACTTGGTACTATAGCATCATAACCATAACGTATTGATATACATTTATTAAAAAAACCAAAAATGTATTTACAAATAATAAAATATATATATTAATTAGGTATTAACAATATTGAAAAAATGAATTTTGTTTTATAACAAACAGATATTTTTACGATAGTAATTTTAATATTATTAATAAAATGCTAGCAGAATGATGTTTCTAACTAATTATAATTTTGTATTTATGTATAACCTGTATACCATATTGTACTTGTTTCCTAAGTTATTCCAATCGGTGTTTCATCGACACTCGGTGCAACGATAACCAATAATATTGCTATGTTATAATACAAAATGTTATTTAACGATATATTCATGTATTATTAAGTTATACTTGTTTATACTTTTCCATGTCAATATTATGAATAATCGGAGCCCAATGACCAAAAGACTTTGAATATTGTTATTTCAATAGCAATATATGAATTTTTATCGTAAGATGATATAGTTATTTTTTATTAAGTTAAAAAAAATGTCATCTCAAATTAACAATTCTGTCCTGATTTATCATAACATTAATATGATCGAACTAATGAAGGTTTAAAAGTCTTTCTTATACTAATTTAAAATGTTGTTCTAGCTTTTATGCTTAATATAATTCAAGAGCTGAATGCTCGTTGATGGAAGGATAGATATTTTGGTGTACAATGCTCACCAAACATTAATAACGAAAAAAACAATATAATGGTTGAGTGTTTGATTCTATTTGAAAAACTCCGTAATTTCTTGTAGGGTTTTGTTTTCAGTTTCTGGTAGACAAAAGTAAAAATATATACAACCAAATAAACCAACAGTTCCAACTATAGTAAATACATTATAAAATTCCACTAATATTGACAACTCCGGGTAGTATTTTGCCATGAAAAAAGTAATGACAAAACAGAAACCTGTACAAATACTGCATAAAATATTTCTACTCCTGAAATCAAAATAAAAAATTATTTTCATGACGAATAATAACAAACTATTATTTAAGACAAAAATTATTCGGTGTAATATTTTTAATCGACTTAAAATGTAATTACTAATTACTATTTTGAATGAACTTTTTTTATAATTTCGAGTAGGTACCTATTATAAAAAGTAAATTTGAGAATTATTTTAATTAATATTAATAATTCATTAACATTTTACAATTTATAAATAATATAATATAATATAATAAGTATTAAAATAATTATTGCATTAATTTTATATTTGTGTAAAACAACTTTTAAGGATTATTAAATTTAAAATAAACGGTATAGCAAAAATTAAATATCTAGGTATTTGAAAATATGGTAATTTACTTAAAACCTCAAAAATCTCAATTTATTTAATTGATTGCAGGGGAAAAATGGAGGTGATTTTTTATAATATATATATTATATATACATAATATATTTCAAAAATTTTTCATAAATTTAATGCTAGTCAACAAAATTCAAATATTAGAATATTTCATAATTGTTTAGCTAACATTTTGAATATAAGAGTTAAAATATTTGTTTCATCCATTTGTAATAGTTAATAACAAGAACAGTTTATATATATACAATAATTTAGTAATTTTCAAATTATTTTTCAATCAAAATATTTAAATATTTGAAAATGTATATGAAAACAATCTTAAGAATTATTTCAGTTGTTTTGCTTAACTATGCTTATAAAAAAATATCATAATAAAATACATAAATGTACTTTTTAATATAGTTTTAACTTACTTTGCAGGAAATATTTCGGTGACAAGGGTCCACGAAACAGGCGTTATTCCAACTGATGATATTAAAATGGTATTGAGAAAAAGTACTAATACTATCCAAGAGGTTATTGATTCTGAATTTTTCCAATAAACACCGATTAATCCAATAGTTATGTAGCAAATGGAGCAAATAGATAACGTAAATAACGTGAGAAATCGTTTGCCTAATTTACGTATTAAAAAAACTGCCGTTAAACTTCCTATTACAGAGAGAGCCATGGATAATGACTGAAAATACAATTGAATGCACAAAAAAAAATGAGTTAAATATTTAAATAACGTTTTCGAGTTAAAGTGTGATGTAGGTAACTCAAAAACTAAATAACTTACTATTGTCCATTCAATGTTAACGGGTGCGCCAAATGTGCTAAGTATTGATACTAAATAGGGCAATAATGGTAATCCAGACACTAAATTCATGAAGAAGAAATATATCATCATCAAACGAAAAGGTCTTATAACTTCGGGTTCAAAAAGTTGATTCCAAGTATTTGTATCTTCTTTGCGATCTATAAAAATGTGACGACCTGCAGTTGAGCTTGCTGTACATGATAAAATAGAACAAATTTATTCGTGTAAAGGAAAATTAGTGATATTACTCGGTTCGTCATTGTTGGAGTGAGAATTATATCTGACCATTTCTTGAAATTCGTTTTCACATTTTTCGTACGAAACTTTTCCCCTCAATCTACTAAGATTTCGGTGTGCTTTTGAATGTTTTCCCTTGGCCAATAACCACATCGGAGAATCTGGTGTCTAGAACATATCATGATTTCGGTCGATTATTATTGAGCCGTCGGAAATACCGATTGCATACCTGATTACCGTTAATAATATGGCAATGGTCAGAATCGGAAACACCGTAGTCACTAACACTGTCAATCTCCATTGCTTGGTTACACTGTACACCAGTGTCAAAATGATGGATCCACCATAGTAAAATATGTTCAGTGCCGAAGTCAATGCGCCTCTTAGTTTTGGCTCGCATACTTCACCGGCGTACGCAAGAGTCGGGGCGTTCGAAAACCCTAGAGCCAACGCCATCAGGATTGAGCTGGCGTACAGCATTTCTACGTTTTCGGCGAAGTACAACATGATCTGAGCTACTATGCTTGGCATGTTTGTCAGTATCATGCACTTCTTGTGACCAAGACGGTCCAGTAGAAGCAACGATAGAATATTTCCCACAGGTGTGAACAAATATAACAGACTAGCTGAAATGTGATTTAATATTTTATGACACGACAATAATATACACTTTACACTTGTAGACTTTCAATGGTGCTGGCTGATTAGATACTTGTTAAATTGTAATTAGGTATATTTTAACCAGACAGTTGGAAATATTTTAATGAAAATGTTTTTAAGTATTTATTCTGATACGATTATGAAAAAGATGTTTCAAATACTGTTATAATTACTTACTAGCTAGCTCATGGAAGCTCTGGGGTGTTAAATAATTAAACAATTTAATGGAGATAAAGCTAAAAAATTACCCAAATAGTCTATGAATACACTTTTATATATTATAAATACCAATTTTGGTTTTTTTAAAAATTAATATATTACATTTCGTATACATAGTATCTCACCAAATAAGTCTTTTAAATGTATTTATATTACTTTTTTTTATACATTTACCACAGTTGTATTTTATTTAAAACAGATGAGTATTTTCACCTTCCATACGTGTGAGTTTTGTTGTTTAATAGTCTATTGATCTTGATATACTCACCGAACCAAGATGCTTCTTCACTTGTTATACTCAAAAATTCTTTGGGGTCTTTGGTTGCTGTGTTATTCTCTAAGGCCCCAATAACAATAGTGGATATCATGACTTGTGCACCGAGTTCGATTTGCAAGAACCATACTCCTGATATTGCCCAACACTGTTTAGAAATATATAGTATATTGATTCGTTGTATTAATTATCGCACTTAAATAAACACATGCTAGTATATTGATATAATTATGTCTAAAATTATTCTTCGTTTTTTGCACTGGGGCCGTGTCATCACCATTACAGCAATTAATTGGTGTGAAATTTGAATTTATTTATTTATTTGTTATTTACCTGAGCTAAAGTTGATTTGATGCCATAATGATAATGCTTATTTTCATCATTCATATTGTTGGATAGTATCGCTTTATTTATTCTATAAATTAAAAAGAATAATTAGCAAAATTAATATTGTAGCTTAAAATTTACAATATTACCATATTCTAGTTTAATTTAAGCATATTATAATTATCTAATATTTGGAGTACCTACTCAATAGACTGCACAGTGTTGTCAATTCCTTTATCAATTTATAATTTTAAATAAATATATAAAATTAGATTTTGTAAAAAAAAGCAATTATTAGGTATTATACAGAAAATATCGATTTTTATATTGTTATTTATAGGTATTTGAAATTTAGTATTCATAATTTTGGGTTTGTGCAAGTTGTAAGTGTGTCGACATTATTTTTCCAATTTTGTTTTGAATTGTATTCTATTCTTACATACGAAAGACAAGACACACGCACTTACATCCGAATTTACTAACGTATATCAAATTTTTATATTTTATATGAAAGAATATTGGTTCAATATACGATATATTATATGCATTTTAGTCTTCAAAAGAAAACGCAGGATTCATATGAGTTGTCAATTTCAAAATAGTGTAGTTAACTCTTTGAATAATAAAAAAAACCAAATACAATTACTAAAAAAAAAATAAGACTTATTTAGAAATATTGTTTTTGTTTAAAAAAAAATATAAAACATCACGCCAATGATAAAAACAAGACATTTTTTATTTTTACATTTTTTTGAAGTTAAACTGCAGTTATTTATGTATTCCATTTTTAATTTAATGGAAATATAACGCAACTATGTTTACTATTTTCTTTTGTCTGTGAATAGGTAGTTAAAGATAATACAATTATTTTATTTCTCGTTAGTTTATATCTTATTGAAATTAATGTAGCATTAAATTGTGAACTATGTTATTACTATTATTATTATTTATATTAAATTTTAATATTTCTAAATAATAAGAATAATACAGGGAATACATATGAAAAAACAATATTATTTTTAAAAAAACTCACCACTTTAAGATGTTCAATTGAATCAGTGTATGCGATTATCACTCAACGTACACTGATTTAAAAACACGTAGGTTATAATATCGTTTTTATTGCACGTAATTAATATTGCGACCATCTAAGTGCTTCATATTATCTTTTATCGTAATACTTTTAATTTTTAAACAACACGTTGATAAATTAAGTTTAGTAGGTAGTATATATATTCCTTCGTCATCATCAAGTCCATTGTTGCCGCCAATATACTCAACAAAATATATCTTTACTATTTATATGCTCATTATATTCGTTAACCGTTTATCAGCTTTTATGTCAACTTTATTTTATGCAAATAAATATAATAATACTATGTAAATCTATCTCCATGGCCACTGTTGTCGAGGTTAAATATTATAGTTAAAAAAAATTTCAAAAAAATTATAATTACTACATTAATTACATATTTTCACTATATAAGCTGTAAAACCAAACTCTACCGCTTTAGAAAAACATAAAAACGCATCCTTTAGAGGTAATATACCTCATGGTTTTAGAAGCTTAAAACATACTCTGAGTATCAAGAAATCTTTCGATATATAGTTTTTATAGTCATCGGTTCAGTAGTTTCCGATATAAGCACGTTCAAACATTCAAGCTCTTTACCTTTAGTATAGATTAGAATCTTCTGGTTTTATTTGTTTTTTTGTAATGTTAAATACTGAGTGGAAGGCATAAATAAACTATCATTGGTCTTACAACAAAGTTGTGCATTTCGTTTTTTTTTCCAGTGAGCACTTTTTCGATGAGAAGCAAAAGGTGTCTTATTAATTGATTTTAAATCGAATTTTGTTGATACTTAAATACTTTGAAGAAGTAATTTTTGATTTAAGCCAATGTTTTTTCAAACGTAGAAAACATTAAAAATAACTTTTAAAGAATTCAAAAATTAACAATCATGATAGAATAGTTGATATTTGTGTATGAATGTGATAGTATAATCGAAACATTAATACATTAAGGAAACTTTGAATAGCATAAAAAGTATAAATGTATATATGTTTATATATTTGTCAGATCATGTAGAATTATGACAGCAGTAAAATCTGGTAGTTATGGATTTATGATGAATAAATGTTAAGTTTCTACAATTAAATAACAATTTACAAATAAAAGGTTTTTAAAAACCTACTTATAGAAGCAATATAATTATTATCCTATAAGACGTTATTTACTATTTAACAATAAATAATGAATACAGTATGCATTATTTAGTATACAATAATAATAATATATGATAAAGATACATAGATTCACTATTTTCATGTAGGGAGGGAAACCTGCAAAAACCTGGAATGTTAAACTCTGAAATTTAATACCCGGACAGTAGAAATTTGGACTGTAAAAATCTGGAATTTAAAATGTGAAACCTTTAAAAATCTGGACCTGACAAAACTGGACCATAATATTCTGGATCGGACAAACTGGACGGTACAATTTTGGAACACACACATTTTCATACTGTCATTTTAATGCAATGAAATCTTAATACAAACTTGTCAAATTAAAATATCCAACACTGCCTACGCCTTGCATTTTGAATTGTAATCGCATAGCCAACGCGTCCGATTGTTAAAACAGATTTGGACACTATAAAATAATATTTTTTGAAAAGGATCTACCGCCTACATTTTCTATACAATTTATAAAAAAATTATTGGTCAAAAATGTAATTTATTTTTGTTCTACAGATAATTTAAAATTAATTTTGGCCATCTAAAATAGGTAGTTAGGTACTTAATAAATAAATATATTTATATTTATTAATATTAGTTTCTCTTTTAACCAATATAATTTTTAGGTTTACGATGTATTGAAAATTGAAGGTATTTTAATATCATCCCAATTTTTTTTTAATTATGTTTAATTTATCAATTGTTTAACATTTATGTCTTACTCATACCCTCTTAAATTATATTATATTATATATATGCGTGTGTGTATTCCAAAATTGTAATGTCCAGTTTTGTCCGGTCCAGAATATTACGAAACAGCTTTTTACAGTCCAGATTTTTACAGTCCAAATTTCTACTGTCCAGGTATTAAATTCCAGAGTTTAACATTCCAGGTTTTTAAGCGTCCCCGTAGGGAGGTATTGAAACAAAATATTTATGATATAATTTAGCAGAGGGATACCCTTGTACTAATTTATTACAGACTATGATTTTAAATTTAAATTTATTTTTTAAAAAGCAATTTATGAAAGAAATGTGGTATTTTCTCAGATAAATATAAAATATTAACCACCAATACGTATAAAAAAGAAATTATGATGAAATGGTGGTGTTTTGTCAATGTTGGTTTACATTTTTAATCAATTTTTCAGTTATTATTTTTAGGGCACTTTATTTTGAATCTTTTGATATTTTGATGTTGATCTAACGTGAAAGCAAAATCTAAATTCCACACGAATAGTTAGGTAATTACATTTTAAGATAAAAGCAAGACTATAATAATATTATTGATAACCTTTTTTTTATGTATAATAATTATAGTAAGTAATTATTACTACCACAATATAATTTGTACACTATGCCATGCAACAATTTTTTTACATGAAACTAAAATATGGTGTCCCAAGAAAATTTACTCATTGTGATATCTCCTGAGATAATAAATATATCATAAAACTGTTTGTTTTTATTGGACTCACGGACACTTGGACTAAATACATTTTATTTTTTAATTTACTTAATTTTTTTGGTAAACAAATAAAAATTTATTTTTTTCATTTTTTATTTTTGAAACAATTAAAAATATCCATTTTGTAGAGCTTATTTTCCTACAAATTTCGACCTTTCAACATTTTATTTTTATAAATTTCATGATTTTTAGTAATTTTTTTTTAGTTTATAGGTAAAAAGGCAAAAAAATATTTAAGTTGCTTATGAGTTATGGGTATATCTACACGGGACTTCCTGTAAATTATAGGTATTCGAATAATATTACAGATTGGTACTCCATTATTAGGTATACACTATACATATATAATATTACCTACGTATAAAAATTAATAAGCAAATAGGTGGTAAAGTTCAATGTGAGATCATTCTTCTGAGTAGGTAGGTATATAATAATTTGAATGGAGACTTACATCGTACATACCTACATAACTGTGTTATAACTTAAAGTAAATGGTTTATTCGATTCGCATTTATAATATTTGTATAGTAACTGGTAGTTGGTATGCCTATAATATATGTATTGCGGTGTGCCTATACAAACAACAACACTTTAAATACTATGCTATCGATATAATGATAAAATGTATAATTCCAAATGAAAAAAAAACACTACCTATAATGCATTATTTTTTAAAAGTATTAACATAGGATTATTATACATTCGTGATTGGAGTATTAAACTACAAAAATAGTAGGTACAAACCATGAGATATAATATGAAATGTTCATACAATCATGACGTTTAGATAAACACAAAACTTAACGTCAATGAACAATTACCGATAAAACACAATAAGTCATAGTTGTTAATCCTTTTTTTTTAAATGATGACGCTTGAGCGAAATAAATGACGTGGTAATTTGAGAAGTACTTAGTAAGTTTAGGTACTTTTTCGGTTACCTAAGTCATATTACCTATACAGATATTATTATTGATCAATACGATTTTCAAATCATCATTATAGTTCTCACATCTTTCAGACCCATTATTACGGACTTATAATTATTAGCACACAAAGTTTAATAACTCCAAAATTACATGTTTGCATTTCAGATAGGTATATAAAATACTTAAAAACAGTCATCTGCTTAAAAATTATAGGAAAAAGTGTCGATTCTCATTTAAAAATGTATGTATCATCACAGGAACTTCTTAAATGTAACAAAAATCTAAAAATAATAATTATGTTAATAATTTAAAATAAATTCTTTGAGTAGGTATACTTAATGATTCTAAAACTTGATATTTGAATACATGTCTTGTTATGAAAGAGAGTGGTGCGCATCCTTGGTGAATCAACTTGCAACAAACACAAAATTAAGTAAATATTTAGTATCATTAAGTTGCTGACGTAATACTGTAGTGATAAAGTATTGCACTAACAATAACAACTAAAAGGTGAATACCTACATATTATTATTGTTCTATCCCAAAAATAATACAAATATTTCATAATTAATATCGTTTTTTAATTTGAATCTATGTTAAGTTATGTATAACATACATATTATGTTAAGTTAACAAGTTCTGTATGTGTATATGGTCAAAAATTGAATATATTCAACTAAGCAGTAGCGTTTGGTTGCCGTGGTATCATACGATAAAATAACAATATTATATCACATAATGATATCACGTGGTTCAGCCAATCAAAGACAATTTTAAGCATTTTTGTTTTTCTCCGCATATCGCATTGACTATTTGAATGCCTAACAAGTACACATTTTATAATATATTATTAATTATTATGTTTAAGAAATTTTTTGGTATTTTGAATGTGAATAAACCGCCTGTTGTGGCCTCGGTTTGTACTTTGTCCAAAAGTTACAGACAATAATACTGTAAGTAGTAGTCTAGGAAGTATAGATACAGTTGAGTGTATTGCAAGAGTAAAATATGTCGATTTGGTAACTGAGACTTGTGATCTAGCCGGTCTAGGAACTTTATACTGACTGATCCAGCTTGTCGAGTGCTTAAGGCAAGTATCAAACCAATTTTTAAAAAATTTTATGGTATATTTATAACTATAATTGGTGTATTTTTTATTGTAGTCGTTTTCAAAAACTGTTTTTGGGAAACAAAATTGATTTTAATTCTGTTCATTATTCAAGCTTTAGTTGGCTAGAAAATAGTATTAAATGTGATGCTATTTATTGTTTTTGCTGTCGCAATTTTAGCATAGCAAGTGATAATCATGATTCTACGTTTACAAGTATCGGATTTAACAACTGGATAAAGTAAGTATTTTTCAATTATGTTTTAATCATTTTTATTATATTTAAAAATGTTAATTGTACTTAGTTATCTGGGTTATGAAGGTAAAAAGGAAATAAACAGAGTAATCTGCATGGACATTCGATTTTTAAACAGCATTTAACTTACATTACACATATTTTAGCTACAATAACAGGTACAGGGGAGTCATTTGGGGGGGGGGGAGAGAGCAGGGTGTGCAACGGCACCACTAACTTAAAAAATATTAACAATTGGCTGGCCATCATTACTCCAATGCGCCGTCATAATTAACTTTCACGTTATGATTTCATATATAGGTAATATAAATAAAATATTTTTTTTTCAAGATTTTGTACATTTTTGGTCGAAAATCGGAGTATTTTTACTACCCAAGAAGTTGATATCAAACTGAAAAAAACATACATCGTTATAAAAAACAATACATTTATCACTACACTCAGAATCAAAAAAAAAAGAACAAATATATTTGATAATTTTATTTTGTGAATATAGATATTGGAATACAAATCGGTACAGTGTGTGTACTTTGTAATAATAATACTATTTTTGACTAATGCACATTTCGTTTAATATTCTCAGCCGCTGGACATTTCTATCCATTTCCCAGAGACAGTCATGTAGCAGGCGGCGGTAGGCGGTCACCGGATGTGGGTTGGCCCTTGATGTTTGGGGAATTGAAACTACACGACAACTGTGGTTGGGTGCCCCACTGCGGCAGACAGGTCTGACAAAGACCATCGCTGGTTTCACCTTTGACGGCATTCGAGTCTCCATGAATAGTTGTCACGATGGCATCTATGCATGAATCATCATGGTCGTTCGACCAGTGTACTACATCGTAAGTCTGCAAGTCGCGCATGTCATATGGAAGCATTTCTGGCCAAGTGAAGTCGTCCACTGCAATAGGAATAATGTTCAGCTGGTTTTGCATCGCTGTCACGATTTCCTACAAATCGAATACAAGTATAGTGCGTAACATAGTAATATAGATCCGTCGTTATAATATCTTTTGCTGATGCTGTGCGATCCCACGAAGTGTTCCATTACCTTGTGAACCCAGTCGTTACATTCGTAGTCACCGACACATCGGTCCAACGAACTTTTGGTTAACACAAGCACGAAGTTTTTCGCCTGTCTTATATGTTTTACTAGGTTATTGCCGAAATGTCCGTTTTCTAATTTTACCACATCGATGAACACTCGATACCCTCGAATTTCTAGGTTAACTTTGATTAAACTACAAACATACATAATGCCATTTGTTGTTATTATTACTAATATAGTAATATTATTATTAAATATTATTCTAGGCTGTGCTAAGCCGTCTCAAATTCGCACTATACAAGCATTCCAGTCGATCACTCTTCGTATGATAACATCCTCGATTTGATTTGTGTCTAACTCCATACTGCACTCTGATTTAAAATCGAATCAGTTGACCAGGGAGCCATCAAACATAACAGGTTATTTTTTTTTTCAAAACTAAATTTCCATACTAACCCGTTAGTATCGCAAATATCATCCAAAACACAACCCATAAATCCCACTTATCAAATCAAGAGAAATACTGTAGAAATTTTTTATCCAAAAATGTATCACGTTGGGTTTGTTCAATTACTGGTTGGCCTCGCTTCTCATATTATTCAAAATTAAAATGTACATAAATCATCATAGTATTTGCTTATTGTGCTATCTCAACACATGTTGTGAATATTCTTTAAAAAAAGTATTATTATTATTTCTAATACTGTTTCACAAAACGTCATCGTTATCTTTATTTTAATATGTTATTATATAGTTATATAGTTACTAGTACTCTTGCATATCTAATGTATCGATATTAATATGTAAAACGCAATCCCTTTACCTAGCCAATTCAGATCCATTCGATCGTCTGTAGCTGATAAACACATCCGTGATTTTTTTGTCCAAAGACGATTCAATCAAATTCATTTCTGTATGATTTACAAAATAATGTACACTGATTGACACGTAAACATATTTATATTTACTTAATTGTAACATTTACCTCTAATTGCCTTTAATATACAAGACTGATGTATGATGTTTGTGATTCTGCAATCATCTACTAGCTGATCTGCCGTTAAGTTCCTGAATAATGATAATTTAATTTATATGTTAATTATTTATAACACAAAAAACAGTCTTGAAGATTGATTTTCAAATTCAAAATGTATAAAATAATAAATATATCAATACTGTGCATAATTATGGAATAATATTAATCAAAACAATTGAAAATCATCCAACCTGATCGTATTCATGTTGACTCCTGCACTCAACATGGGATAGGTGTATATGACGAACTTTGAGCTGATTGACTTTAGGAACTTCTGCAAACCGGTTGAGTCTTTACTACTGTAGTCGGTCGTTTCTTTCAAATTATCTAGTTCTCTCATAAATCTAAAAAAACAATGAATAACATAACATATATTGTTTAGGTAAGCATTGTGTCGAATGCACAACTCTGTGGTTGAGATATAAGCCAAATTAAAACGAAATTTAGTGAATATAAGGTAGCTAATAATATCCTGATGAACATTAATCAGAAATGAAAAATTAAGTATTGAAAATACATTCATCAGTTGTAATGCAAATCACGACGAGAGGCCAACTGAATATTTGATAAAGTGGGACATCAGATATCAATCACGCTATACATAAACAAAAGTTAATTCATTTTCGATAACAAAAAACAAATCTAATGTTTGCTGCTTAATATCTAATTATTAAAGAAGTGTTAATTTAATGCAATGCAAACCTTATTATGTGCAATGTAATATTTTATAATTATTAACATTGTATTGTAATTTTTAAAGTTACGTCAAATAGACAACAAATACAGATCTAATTTATAAAAACAATATACAATAAATATCACTCCGATCAGAATCTTAAATACCATAATAAATTGTGTAACTTTATTTATATTTTATACTATGTTGTCTATCTTTATTATTAAACGCTTTATAACATTAAAAACATTTTAAATTATATTGGACTTGAACAGCTCATGCATAAAAACAACTCAACTATTCTTTGTTGATAACAGTAGTCATAGTGTATATCAAACGAGAAGAAGCACATTTAGGTTAGAATTTCTCCTATCATAATATAAGGGTCGATCCATATTATAATATTGTCAACAACAAAATTGAAATTAAAAAACCAATGATTTATATCAAAATAACAATCTTTATATAATACATATTGTTATTTTAAATCGAAAAAAAAATTTAGTAGTAATAAGTAATAACTACCTTGTAATGTTAACTGTGTAATTCGTTTAATGCATACTACAGTAATTGTCGACCTATCATTTTAATTCAAAAAGCTAATAGAAAAAAAAAATTAAAAAAAATTCAATATCTAATATCAGGTACCCATATCGTTTTATATAGAAGTCGTGAACTTCAATTCTATCTGTTGTTATTGAAGACATTAGGTAATATTATTTTAATTAGAACAATAATTATGTTTTAAATTTCTAATTACAAATCAGAAGCCAATTAAATTGGTAATTTGCCCATTTTACTTGAATCATCTTATTATCACTGCCTAAATTAAGAACTACTTTTTGTCAGTCAGGGCCATATTTTGTGTTTATTAATTTTTGTATTAAATATAATATTTGCATTCATGTATTTAATAATTTTATACAATTAAAAAGAAAACTTATGTCTTTAGGATTAAATACCTTAGTTTAATTTGAATTGTTTACAGTTTATATTACTTTATTTTGAATAATTATATTGTAATTGATATGTTTATTTAATATTGTATTTGCATGAACTCTCACCTCCAGCACAGCCTTTGGCTTAGGAGGTGATCCAACAAAAATTTGTCTATTAGTAATTTTAACTTGTATATATTGTTTGTTGGAGAATTAATAAATATTATTATTATTATTATTATTATATTACTCCTGTTTCACTCAGATAGTTTAGATCAATTTAAAATTAAAATAGTAATAGTTCAGTTAAATATTGTTGTACATTATCATTATCCATAATATTTGAATATAATTTAGCGAACACTAAATAAAAATAAAAATAATAATATGTAGGTATTATTGTGTTAATAAATATATGTTGAACAACATTAAAATCTTTTATAGTTTTATTGTAATAAGTATAATAATTGTAATATGTGAGCCTCAATTCGAAACTTTTTAAATGGACCGCATTCTTAAATACCAAAAAATGTTTAATACATGAACTTGAACTGAATATAAACTTTGTGCAAATTTCACGTTTCTACCAGTACGGAAGTACCTTTTTATTTTATTTTTGATGATCAGTCAGTCCGTTAGTTACTACAATAATTTAAACTTCGAAATGCTCCCTTTGTGATAAGGCTTATTTTTAAGAACTCAATTTTTATAATGTCTTAAGCTACTTAAGATTAAGATAAACATGTTTGAAAATTTCAAAGTCCATCTCAAGAGGAAATAGACATGAGGGATACAAAAACCATCAGAAGCAGTTGGTGCAAAGATACCTATTATTGTTGAAACTTGGCCGGTGCATACCCGTGAGCTCAGATACTGATCGCCACTAAAATGTGAGAATGAATAATAACTGTATTAAAACAATCATTGACTAGTAGCCGGAGTCATAGACGAACACATTTATGCGAAACGTGGAAAGTCATTTTTGACCAAAACAGGTCTCACTCATACTCACTACCAACCTTTTTCTCATTATTCCATTTTGCATTCCGATGTCGTATTTCAAGTTGTCCTCGGTAATGTCCAACAAAATATGACCATCAACTAGATTTTCCAAAAACTTTTCAGCGAACTCGCTAAAATCGATTTGCTTCACCCATTTATGTACTTTATTTACTGACCACTGGGGAACTTCCTCTTGACTGCAGTGATGGTGCGGTACCTCTTCACCAATTAACATTAATGTTTTGGCTGCTAATTTGGACGCTACAGGGTTTTCGCTACTGTTTACTTTTTTCAGTGATTCAATCACGTCGACCACTCTGAATACGCTGGTCAAACGTAATTGCTTCTTGTTCTCGGCTTCCAAAAAATGGAATGCAGACAAGTTGCGCTCTTCTTCTCGGGTGGAACTCAAAACCGGGACGAGTCTCTTCAACCATTTTTGAACTTGGATACGGGAATATGAAGCCATATTGGATTTGACGAGTTTCCTATTAGTGACCAAAACAACTATTGCCAAGAGAGCGTCATACTTGAGGTTGTCGACTGTGTTGAACGCCAATGCAAACAACCATGTGGGTACTTTTCGCTTAATCATTTTATCTTGGCTTTCTGGTCTTCCATACAGCGATAAGTTCGCTAAATCGCTGGCGCAATGTTTCAAGGTCTCAGAGTCCTGATTCCAACACTCGTACAGCAACACATCCAAACAACCGAGTTTTATTACATCGCTATACATGATTTCACTGTGTTTAAATAGGTTTTTCAGGAATCCTAAAAAAAAAATTGTTTAGTAAACAAAATATAATTGGGTTAGGATAGGAAAAGAGAGACAATTTGTAAACACTATAATAGTATAGTATACCAATTTGCTCACGTTACATATATTATTACCGAGCACATTAAAATACGTATAATAACCGTATTTAATCGATAAACTTGAACAAAATATATATTGTCATCTTTTGTCCCGAACGTTAAAAGCATATTTTGATTTGCAAATGTTCAACGCCATCTTGTGGGACGGAATTTAACAAAACAGTCCATTTTAATAAAAAAACTAAAAACGAATTGGCAAAAACAATATTTTAGGTGAGTAAAAAAATATATCTCACCGGTGCTGTCATTCAATTTATCCACCGAGCTGATTTGGTTCTTGTATTCGCACACTATACGCAATAACTTCTCCACCCCCTTTTCCAGTATATATTCGTGGTTTTCTGTCGTCAGACATTGTTCCAATAGCCTGGCACTGGAGGACTGTAGAGTTTTGTCTCTGGACATGCAATTGTCCATCAAAAAATCCAGTCCACCGGAATCCCGTAACGTTTTGCACAACTCGTACCCGAGTTTGCAGTTGGGAACAGCCCACGCTTTGCATATCATGTCAAACATTTTGTCGATTAATTCGTACGGAGCTCTGAGGTGTGCAAAATCGTGAAATATAAGACTAGTGACGGTGTGCTCCAGGTACGTAGAATACTTTTGCACTGCGTTTTCAACATCAACTGCATTGTAGGCGACGACCCTTAACAAGTCCAGATCATCGAATTCAATATCCAAGAGATGTTCTACACGTTCCATCATGGCGTTGGCTATTGATCTCAAACATTCAGATGATGACCCGTCGTGTATGGACTGTAAAACAAAAAAAAAAGGATATAACTAAACAAAATGTGGGTAAATAATTATTTACGACCAGTCGACACATATGAATGTCTTCCATCAGCTTCCATCAAACTTATTCAAATAGTTTACTCAAATATAACAGAAAATTTATACAGACGGTGTTTTAAATTTTAAAATGGACACTTATTATCTGAGAAAAATCATTAATTGTTTAAAATAAATACAATTTTATTTAGAAAATAATAATACATATATTTTTTTAATGATCCTTAAGAAGTTGCAGCTCCATCACTAAAAATATTATATAATATGTTGAGAGATATGAGAGAGTAAAATTATTGCATATTATTTTGATGTTCATTGGCATCAAGGTATCATTATATTATGTAATATATTCACTCTCCAAATTTTCATGGTAATAATTTTAAAGCAAAATGCAAATAATAACTGTATTCCAATAGCCTATGTAGTCGAGGGTAATTTTTTTTTGCCAATAAAAACAAAACAAAAATGTTATAATAATTTATTATATGTATATTGTTATGTTCTCAATGTGTCTGAATAATTAGAAAAACTTTGACACGGCGTCTTGAATAGGCAATTTAGCTACACCACTTTTCTGGCTCATTTCCTGTTTCCCAAAAACTGTAAACCCCCGCCCATCGATAATGGCCAAGCGACGCCACGTTAGTTACTCAACTAGAGAAGTCACGGTAATGGATGTGAAATTTGAATGCAATGATGCAAAACCATTGTATACGAAAAACGATTCTATGCTAAGACGGTCAGCACATATTAACTAAGTATATTTTATGATATTATTTCTACAGAAGTAATTTTATTTTACTACTGTACATTAAAAATGATTATAAAAGTAAATAATTACACGGTAAATTAAATAATTTTTTTTTGTCTAAGACGTCGCACTTGATTGAATTGTCTCCGTCTTACAAAAGTACGACATGGCAAATATTCGTCTACCAGTTTCAATAGAGTGCTGTTAGTTTTGTCATTAAAGTAAATCGACCTATATGCAAAAAAAACTATTAGGTAAGAAAATTATCTGTGTTCTCTTATTGGTTTTTTACTATAGTTTAATTTCTACTTTCTAGGTTGGTTATAAATATGTAAAGTATTAATATCTGAAAATGTTCATGATTCGCTTAAAAATTAAACTATCGGAAATAAACAACGAGAGAACACTTAATATAATGTTTTTACCTAAGATTATTGAAACTAATGAACGGATCTCCGTCCATATTTATTTCGTGAGTTGTCAGAGTATGAGCATTGGACATTGACAAATTCTTATCCGGTTGAGAATGGTTTGTTGATTTTTTGGTATATGTATATATAGAACTAGGGGAAAATCCAGCAAGTCATAATATGGGGGGGGGGGAGTGTGGTATAAAGCTTAAATAAGAGGATTTTTAGGGGCTTAGCCACCCAAAAGTATGCCACTTTTAAGAAAACAATTTGTTCTCCACTCTTCTTAGTACAGCGTTGGGTGTCCCGAAATTTTTTTTAGGCGTATGTACGTATAAGACAATTTTTTTCAATCAACCCCTCTGGATCTGACCTCGTACAGAACGCAACCAATAAATAAAAGTTACTAAGATCTAGTCAAATGTTGTGATTTATTGCTATGCGAGAAGGTAATGATGTTTTTAAGTCTTATCAAGAGTACCTTATCTCAATAGTAAATCTATAGGTAGGTAGCATAGGTATGCGCAGGAATTTTAAACAGGGTGTGCAATGAGCGACCCTTACTAAAATAAAGTAGTAGTAACTACTTATTTGACCTGCTACAATTCAGTAAGTTAAGTCTTTAGTCCCGAGAAGAATTTAGACCAAAAAATAATGTGAAAAGACGTATATATGATAAAATTATGAAAAAAGTGACAAAAATTGACTTAAGCCCTTCTTCAGTTCTTCCCCGATACCGAGGATATATTGTCTCTGTATTATAATAATTTAAAATTAATTTATAATTTAAATTTTCTAGAGGATGTTTCGTTGATTATGAAAATAAAGAATACTAGATGTCATGGGCGGATAGGCTCATCGGGAAATCGGGATTTTCCCGGTAGACCCCTATCAATACTATACTCAGAGGCCCCAATCCTAAAAACTTAAAAAAAGAAATAATATAAAAGTAAATTTGTATAATAGTGGCTGACGATGACGCCTTGGTGGCAGTACAGTATTAATGTGTATTTGTGAAATTTGTATACTCCATTAGGGCCTCTGTGTAAGCTCGCCGATACCCGTACAAATACATATCTATTTTGTTGTATGTACCTATTGTGCTAAAACTAAATAATGTATAAAATGTAAATATAAATCAATATTATCGATGTCCAAATAACAAAAATAAACAACTATAATAATGATTAATTTTTCGATTAGTGATAGCTAAGTATCTATTATCTACTTTTATTAACAAATCTTTGTATCGCAATAAATTAAATTTGTTCTATTTTTAATGTGAGTGTCTAAAATATCATTTTCTCTTACATCAACATTAATGAAGAGTATAAACTATAGAGTAAGCAAGTACATTATATCATTTACCTATTCTTACTCTATGGTCTATGATATTATTCAACATTTAACAGGTGTGATTATTTTTATTTTACTTTTCAAATTGGCCATTGTGACTGTAGCTTTTTGCTAATTGTGTTTTAATTTATTAAATAATATATATGGTAATTATTAATTATGTCTAAACGAAATTTAGAAAATGGAGCTTCAAAAAGAAAAAGAATAGATCAAGATTTGTTAAATAAATGTGCCAACGATACAACTCAAAAGACGTTTTTTTATGTACAATGTATAGGCGCTAAGTATAAGTGGCCCTAATAAATATATATCCCGGTAAAAAAGTACCTATCCGCCTATGTATATGTTCCTTGAATATTATTATATAAAATAAAAACAATTATTAATTTACATTTATAATGGTAATCTTTTGACTTTTGTATCGGTGTCTGTGTTCTTAACTCATCAATTATTTCCTCCACATCTAATGAGTTTTGATCAATAAATATTTTCAGTAAGGCATCTAACCTGAGTCAACATTGTTTTCTTTATACACCTAAATTGGGAAATATATGATACGTGGGGGGCTTTGCCCTCACGCCACCTATATACCAATTAACTTTGATTTATCTATTATTATAATATATTTATTTGGAATTTAAAATGTGTGTACTTGTAATATTATGTTCGTTAAACTGAATCCACGTTCAAATAAAAAGTAGGAACAGGTAATGTTTTGATACGGATATTGAGCACGTGTTCATTCACTGTGTTTATATGAGTAAAATGTCTCATACCTTGAACTAGATCAGAGGTATTTAGTAAATATCAACGGCCTAATTGTTGTATTACATTTTTACCATGTCTCATATCAACATCACTTGGACATGTATTCTTATTTAAATTTGAATATCGTTTGACGTTTAATATTAATGTTTCATTTTCATTGTTGTCAAGTAAAAGGAAATGTAGATTATTATACTAGTTATGAACTTATTTTGGTTAAAACTAATTGATTTTTGATTATTGTTTTAACTTTTAAGTACCTAATTGTTTTGAAAACCATATTTATTTGAGTTAAATTTGCTTCTGAAATACGTACTCCAACTTTAGTTTTAAATGATTTAATTATTCTAATAGTTCTTTAAATAAATTGATCTGCTTGTAGCTTGTTTTTCTCACAGTAAAAAGAATACAAAAAAAATTAGAAATTTTCAAATTATATACATTTTGATTATCATCCAACTATGATAGTACACCTGCGTATTTATTTTATTTACTTTCTCGTACACATTTAATAATTTTAGCGTTTTGGGTATAAACCGTTTAGTATAAACTTACCCTTATATACCCTCCACTGCACCACTGATCGGAGGGACACAAAATTATTGTAATAGCGTGGATCGATACCTTGAATTGTACCCAAATTTGTAGTTAAATCTCTGACCACGGTCTTGAACATAATAGAAGTATAGATATATTATTATTATTATTATTATTATTATTGCGCAAGCGAATCGCGTTCTCTGGGCAAAATGAGTATAGTCTGCATGTGTATTGTACTATTATTATACATAGGTAATATGCCTATTCATAATTTATGATTCAGAATATATAACTGATTATACACTCGATAATGAACTAGTTATCAGCTTAAATAGATAAAGAAATGTTCAATGAAAAATTCAAAATAGGCACACATGTAGCTACACACCGTGTACGCACGCCTGTGGTAAGTAGGGAATATTGTAACAAGCTAAAGTTTCAAATTTATTAACAGTACTTATCTAATACCTTACTTAGATATGCATGATAGAAACAGCTCATATATTTTAAACTAGAATTTATTATTAATTATTAATTATTATTCAAACTAGAATTTATACATTATATATTCTAACATGTTCAGCATTTTTCATTTCATTAACAGTACCTATTATAGCATAACTGGTAGTCGTACAAAATGTATTTATATTATTTATGATAATAAAGTACAAACTATTTTAAATCATTCCTTATATGGTAATATCAAGTTTAAACAATTAAGATAACCGTAATTTGGTTAATATGAAAAATCAATAGAATTCAATATACCTAATGAATTAATATTATGGGCACTTATAAAAATAGAAAATATTTTTTGATAAAAATATGCATGTGTTAACAGATTTCGGACGTGTGTAATTTTTATTTTACAGAGTATACTAGTATTATATAAAATACTATAAATACCTTTTCAGTGCCAAAAATCATATGGTTCGAACTCTTGCAGGTGGTTGAGATGACAAGACCCGCTTGTTTAATAAATACTTAATATCGTCTGAAAATCTTGAATACTTGTGCATGCACGTTCGACGGTGGTAAGTATAAATGAATGGTAATAGGGCTTTGCACCATTTTCTGATGCCGTGATACCTGTTGGCGTCAAGCAATTAATATATTATGACCGTGTAATGTAACACGCTAAACAACGACTGCAGGTTGACAGTCAACTGAAAATCAGTTTGGCACTGTTGCGCACATAAACTTACGCTCGCGAAAACATCAAACGGGTATTTCGGTCGCATGCGCACCGGTTCACCTGTATAGATGGACTACAATCATAAAACAATGGATATAAAGTGTTATCTATTTAATATTTAGGTAAAGGTAAATTTTTATTAATTGAAAAAAAAAATTAAAATACTTAATGTGACATACCTTTGTATGTTTGTTTTGCAGCTTGTTATTCAAAAAATATCTTAATAGTAGATCATCGGATAATAATACAAAACGAATATTAAAAGTATTTTCAGTTGCATGGTTTCTGTTTTTTTATAGATTTAAATTAAAAATTATTTAATGATAATTATTGCGTATGGATGTTATTATTATTATGAAGTACCGTTAGATTATTTAAAAGTGGACATTTTCTTAAAATATTAATATTTTCAATGTTATAGTTGAATAAAATAAAATAAATGTAATATAATATTTTAATTCCATTACAAAATGCATTGCTCATAATAATATTATATATATCTCCATTACACAAAAAAGTTTTAAAAAATAATTTTGTCGAATAATTTTCATGGGAGCCAATATAACAGTTATTTTGTAAATCTTAAGATATGGATAGAAAGAAGATTTATATGAAAATGAAATCAAAGAAAAAAGTAAACAAAAAGTTGAAGAAGAAGAAGAAGAAAGCAAAGGAAACAATAATTTAAAAAATAACTTTCAGACGAGTGTGAATACTTAGACATCGATTATATGACAGAAAATTGATAATATTTTAGATTTTAGATTTTAAAAACAAAAAGAGCAGATCTGCAAACACCTGCTGTTGCAATGAAAAAGTAAAATTCCCTAAACCCAATGCGCATTCACTAGAATCTCGTGAGATTTATTGTATGGTGATGGTGTAATTAACAAATATTTTAGATAAAATAGCAGTTGCACTCACTTCTTTTAATACTAACCATCCTAATATAAACTTGGGTGGCGGTATTTCATCCATGATAATTGTTGGTCAAGTGGAAAATAAGGCTACAGATGGCCTAGCATCTGAAAAACATAAATTTGGTCAAATGTATATATTATTACTGTGATGACAATGGAAAAGCAAGATTAAACTCTCAGCCCTCAAAAAAAAATTTGAAGTGGATTGGAGAGATAAACTGTAGTTGTACATAATAATAAATATAATTAATTTGACGAATTATTCATGATTTATATCTACGATTTATTTATTTAATTTTTTTATTATTTATATATCCTAAAAGTTTAATGACTGTTACAATGACCTTGAACACAGCTTAATTATAATATAAATAATTTCCATCATTTATATTTTTCGTAATGGTTTTTTTTTATAATATATTGAATTAACTCACCGAATTAAAAAATATAAAATATTTCATAAATCTAATGATTTGATTTAGTCCCTTGTATGTCAAAAGCTTTCTAACTAAATACATCAACTAAAAATTGTCTAATGATTATGAATCAAGTAAAATAATAAGAAAAAAATACGTGAGTTATAATAGTTAAAGCAATTTAGTAATAATTATAATGCCGGGCACATAATCTCATTTTCTTTCGTCATTCCATATTCATGTTAAATACTTTCCTAGCAATAACATTTACGTAACATTGTGTTGTTGGACAACAAACTATTGTTGTCAACAACAATAATATTGGGAAAACATATTCGTTGCAAATGTTAGAATTCTCCAAATTCTTTTATGATTCCGAAAGTCCTGACACATGGATAAAATTAAAATTTTAACTGTAAATGAATAGCGAGTATATTAATCTACTAAATACTTCCTTAATTTATTAATAAAAATCAATATAATTCATTCAAATGATCAATCGCAAAAAGTATTTTTGGTTTTCTAAAAAGTCATAGCAATTTTAAACACGCAGCGAGAAACAATAAAATGATGGACCGATTTTATTAATATTTACATAGGCACCTCTACGAATTTAATTGCGTACTAACTATATTGCGTATATTATAAATTTCGAGCGTGACGATAATACAATAAGAGCAATAACCATACGCCCAAAAACTATAGTAGAATCATGATCAACTGATATATTTTAATAAAAAAAAAGTTTATCTTTAAAACATGTTTTTTTTAGAAATACCTAATTGTTTGGAAATGACTTCGTTGTCGACGGTAAATATATTAGGTAAAATCTATTTTAATAGATTGGGTCAAACATCTTGTTATGCGTAGTAACTTTTGTGATAATGAACTTAGAACATAAATACATTTGTGATGTAAGACACAATACGATGCAATATCAAATAGAGAAGTTAGCAACGCAATAGAAAAATTGCACGAAATTGTATTTTTTGACTAAATTCATAAAAATGTACATGAATCAACAACTTTTTGAACGGTATCTACTTCCTCTCATGTTGGTAGATTTTTCGGCCGTGACCTATAGCTTATGACTTGATCAACTAAATGTATAAACCGTTAAGTAATAGGTACCTAAATTATAAGTAGGATAGTAGGGCTAAGATTAATAAATATGTAGTATAAATTAGTAAAATTTTCAAAAAGGTACAATGAATATATAATAAGATATACAATGGATTTACCAATATTTCCCAAACTGTAATTACATCATATTATCTTATATTACTTAAAAATACATTAAATAAACTATAATTAAGTTACTTTTTAATTTATATGTAAGCTCTAAATTAAATCATTTTTGTTACTCTTACTTTTAAATAATCCTAAGTTTTTAGTTAAATACAAAATCGTCAAAATCATTGATTTCATGAGAATTAAATTATGAACTTGATACAGCTGGTAATGACGAAGCATCTAGACTTTTGCACTACCTACTTTACCTTCAATATAAAATAAAACATGCGTTTTTCTTGATTATATTTTTTAACAGGCCTGGGCATAAATGAGTTAAAAATTTAAAGTAAAGTTTAACTTATTTAATTAATTTTTTTAAATTTACTTTTCATCAACTTAATTTTTAACCTGATTAAATAATAACACTGATTTTTATTAATATCATAATATGCTTAATAAATAACAAGTTATTTTTGGTCAAATTCATTTTTATTATTTTGAGCCATATTACTGGCATTGATTTATGCATAAATAATAATAATAACTTAACTTAATGAGTTGATTGCAAGTTCCCGTATAACTTTTAATTAAATTTATTTAAAAAAAAAATAAAAAAAAATAGTAAGGACTTTCAACTTTTTTAAATGTTTTCTATCAATTTAACTGAACTAAATGAAAATCCATCACTTGCCCAGGCTATATTTTAAATATTAAAAATAAAAAAGATGGGGCCTTGGAATCACAATGCTCTTCAATAGCTTTTGAGTGGATCACTGCAGTGGATGTATTAAATTTAAATTCACAATTTTTCACAATTCCAACCACTCATCAATATTATAAAAAAAAAAATAATTATAGATTAATATATAATATAAATTAATAATGCTAAGTGCCGTCGATGGGTGGCTTCTTGTTCAACACCTCACGTTCTGTTATTTCTCTTACCACATAAGATTATTGTATACCTGTACACTTTACAGATTGTTTATTTCAAATAATAAAAAAAAAATTTGAATTCAACGATGTAAAATCATTGTGTAAGAAAAACGGTTCTGAGCAATGTCTGTCAGCCTACATAAAGTTTATTTGATGATATCATTGCAATTAAAGTAATTTATTTTACTGTAAGTTGTTATTATTGATACTTGTATTATCAGAAAAGATGGGATTAACTAGTTAAAAAGTTACTTTGAGTTTTAATTTTCTAGTTATGAACTAAATTAAATTAGCTTAACTATTAGTTAAATAAACTTAGGTATTTTCATTTAAATTAAAAAATATTCAATCAAGTTAATTAATATTAAAAATAAAATAAAAATACCTAACCCAATATTATAATGTAATAAATATTAAGATGATACCAGAAATGGACATCCTACTCCACTAAACTGAATCACATCAAACGTAACACTGGCAATTAGACATTCCCTATTGAAATACCCAGACAATTTGAAGTTATCTTAACAAGACTCAGAATTGGACACACTCAAATTTCCCACAGTTTCTTAATGGACAAGGAAGTACCCCCAATATGCACAGCATGAGATATTGAAGTCACCGTCAATCACATTTGCACCTAATGTCGAACATACCACATCAGAACAAGTCACAACCTGCCCGAATCAATAGCCGAAATACTCCACACAATCATCCTCAAGCCACATCATGCATTTCATTACTACCGTCAATCTTCAAACCCACATTTAAAACCAATATTTAGAATAAGTAGACAGTAATAATAATCGATTAAAATATTTTTAAGCCCAATGGACTGGTACTGAATTGGTTCCCGAGCCTCAACCCCACGTCATGCCAAATTTGTTTCCATTTAATTACGCACATTTTCTCCTCGATTTTACTGACCTATAAGTCTGTCGACATTAAAGTAGGCTTCGTTAAAAATATGTTTTAGAGGTCGCTGAAGTAGAAGTCAACTAGTCATCACTTAGGTACACAAAATCAAATATAATATTTCTGTAAGTTTTCCATTAATGTGCTCAGTCATGCAGCCGTTTTATTCTATAAGCTATAGAGTGTAGGTGCATTAGGTGCATTTATATTTTATACTTTTTAAAATTTATGTTGTACTATACGATTTCATATTGCAAAAGAATGCTTAAAAAATAAAATTGTAACTATTTTACCAGTACACAAACGGGAACCAATTCGGCTACTCCCACCCAATGACCCATGTTGCCGAGGGTTTTTAACAAATGAAAAAAAAATATACAACACAAATAATTTTGTTATGCTTCTCGATAAAATAATTTTGTATTATGTTTTAGTCGATTAGAGATAGACCATAGGCATAATAGTATATGACCTTAAAATGCTATTTGACGTAAAATATTTGTTAAATTATTAGTTAAGTGTATAGCTTAATTATTTAAAAATCATGTAAAGTAAAATAGGTAAATAGACAGGTACCCATTACCGACATATACTATTATACTGTATATTACGATAAAAGTTCAATAAAATTAGAAAGGAGGCATTCACACTTTTTGTAATCCACATGGGTACTAATTAAAAAAAGGAGATGAACTTTTTCAAACTGAGTTAAGTTAACATTTTTTCCATATTTGTTTCTAACTTATCGATATTGTGTTCTCTTAATTTAACTTGACTGCCTTTAATTATCAGTAGGTTGAATTCAGTTTTGCTGAGAACATTGCATTTAAAAATTGCATGCTGTTTATAAAATATAATAATATAGCAATGGTCGAAGTGGGGAGAATTTACATTTTTCATCCCTCCACCTATTTTGTAAGACTGTTTAAGCAATATATAAGAACCAAATAAATTATGAAAAGCGTCCCTCCACTTATTTTGAGCCACTTCGACTACTTACTATAAGTATACTTTTATACTTTATAAAAGTTTTAAATAGCAGCCAATAATATTTTTAAATTACATCAAAATAACTAAATTGTTATTCTTTGAATAAATATTGAATTTTATCTAATTTTGAACTTAAAATATCTATAAAAAAAACTGTGTTCATATTATTTTATTTTAATTTACAAAATAATTGTTGATTTTATGTAATTTTATCAACATTTGAACATTAAATTGTTAAAAAAAAATTTGTCCCTTTATATCTTTAATATTTTCAAATTGCTATAAAAAAATCATACGTGGAACCTTGTATTACATTTTCAACTCTTAATGTAAAAAGAAAATTGTAATGTTTTTTAACAGAAGAATTTTTTCAAAATTCTAATTGTATACGATATTAAAAAATATTGTAGTATGTTAATCCTAGCCTCACAGTAAAATAACTAATAAGTACCTAATAAATATTAACTACAGGTAACCTATATTGTTTTATTTTAAAACCTACCTTTGTTTAGCCTTCATTTATATTATTCTAGATTCATACGATTTGTGCATTATTTTAGTGATTTTTATTTTATAATTGTACACTGATTTCATAAGATATTTAATTTTTAGGTTCTAAGCGAAAGACGTCTGCTTTTTTCTGTCAGCCATCGCGTTTTGAAGCAGAACATTTGTCAAACCAATATGTTAGGTTAGGTAGATACTACAACAACCTGAATATTCGTGAATGCAGTACTATGCCATTGTTCAAATATCGTTTTCCTGTAGTTTTTGATTATGATATCAGTGAAACTATGCTCAAACGTGCATAAGACCTGATTAGCGTGACTTCGTCATTCTTTTTAATACTGAATTTTTGCATTCCATTCAAATATAGTAGTATTGCGTGTCACAGTAAGGCACTCAAACTTCTTGGTCGTGCACAACTCGGCATGAAATATTGGCGCTCATAACTCTGTTTCGTATGTCCTTGTAATGTGTTCTCTGTAGTAGTGTATGAATTTCAATATATTTTGTAGTGTCGAATCGACAAACAATTATTAACCACAGTTTTCTAGCACATCGAGAACAGCGCAATTCTTGTCTTTTGTCGGAAATCTGTATTGAAATTAGATTACATACAGTATGATTAGTATCCTCTTATTTTAATTTATCTTCAAGCTAACTGACTAAAGAGTTAATCTTAACTTGGTTTTTTTTAGATGCATCGTCTCTCCTTGGCAGTATATTAAGCTTTTAATGTTCCACCTTTTTCTTTATGTAAGACTTAATATTTCTATGTACCTGCATCGGCCACTAATTATGGCACTATTCAGCACTTGTTCGCTAGTGAGGACTAGGCATGAAGTGGATTGCTAATTTTTCTGCTATTCTTAGTATATTATTCTTACTTAAATATTTTGTTATTTTAGTTATTTGTTTTTGTTTTTGTTTTGCTTGTATACTATCTAGTTAATTTAAGATACATTAGCAACATTTGTATTGTTATTGCTTACCATTAACCTATCTGTCCTCGCTGTTAATGGATAAATTAAAAAAAATTATGGCATGAACAAATTTATATCATTATTCAATTTTGAAATTATGTTGCACATTTCAATGTGAATGAACGTTTGATCAGTGTACCTATTAAGTTATGGTGTTATACTAAGGACATCAGAAAATTGCTTAAAAATAAATATAGTGAAATACTTATTAGTATATAAGTTTTATTTTCTAATATCATGTACCTACCTACTTGTCAGCATTTACTATATTATATATATATATGTATTTTTTTAGCTATTTTATACTCATATATTTTAGCTATATACTTGTTTATTTTATTTATTTCACATATTATGTGTAGCTTATGTATAATTTATAAATGTTTGCAATATCAAAAATATCTATATGGATTGATAACTAAAAAAGGGGAGAATTTTGAAATATCACAAATTTTATTTTAGTTTAATATACAAATATAAATATTTTATAGATATATGATATATCTTTCATACGATTTGATGTTTTATTTTAGCTTTGATTTTAATAAATTTGATACCCTAATGATTATTCTGAATTTAGGTAAGCATATTTTGTATTTTTAATGAATCATTATTTATAAGTTATAACATATATAAATAGTAACTTTTTATCTATTTATTATTATTAAATAATAATTGAATACAAAGATTTATATTAAAATGTTGGATCAAATACAAATTAAATGTAGTTAATTGTATTTGACTATTTTTTTTTCATTTTATAGTGAAAACAGTATCGAATTACTTTTTGAGGAGTATCTATGAACAAAATATTATACCTACTATATTATATTATTTATTTATTACGAAAGTTACTTTATTCTGATATGATTCATTTATTAGTCTCAAATTTAAATAGAGTTAATCTGTGGTTGCGAAAAAATATTTATATTATTATCAAATTTTGATTTGCTACATTACAGTACAAACATCTTTGGCATCTTATGTTATTTCGGCATAACATCCCATACAGTCAATATTATAATTTATATTATTTTGATCTATAATATATTTATCTCATAATTAAGTATGATACTTCACGCTTAAGATTTCCATCGGCAGGTAAGAAGGTTTTACTCAAAAGGTTCTGCAATCTATCCATCTTAAATTTTTTATGTGATTAAATGAAATATAATATTCTTAAATTCTGTCTTGGAGGGTCCTTTGATAGGTTAGGCATATCTCATCATGTAGTTATTCCGTTATTTCATATTCACTTTTCACCTTGCATTGTAAGGATTTATAGTAAATAAAAAAACTGGAAAAGCGTTATAATTTTTTTTTTATTACCTATTTCATACATAATACATAAAAAGCATCAAATTCAAAAATCCCAATACAACTGCACTTAATTGCAAAGTTGTTTTTGGGCTTACATATATTATGGTAACTTATCATTATACATAATATAAATTGTACACACTAAATTTGATATAATATTAAAAATCAGTCAGGTTCCCAAAGTTGAGAAAATTAATTTCATTAATTTTGAATTTTTACTACGAGAACGTTATTGCTTTTCAACACTAACGTCTGCAATTTACATACTACACAACTCAAATTATAAAATTCATTAAGAAGATAATATTATAATTATATTATACATTTTAAAATTATTAAAAACAAAAACAACTTTATTTAAACAATAATAAGATGTCCAATGCTAAAGTGGTCAAAGTTGAAAGTAGGGTATGTAAGTTAATAATGAGTATAGCTTATACTAAGTTCCCATATGGTAAAACTTAAAACAATGTAAAAAAAATCAGTTAGACTAATTTTGAATAACGTTATAAGTTAAAATATAACTTATAATATTAGAAAACTACTCTAACCTAACCTACGGTGATTAAATAAAAACCAATAAAAAATTGGAAATATTTAAAGCTAAATGTAAAATTAACTAAGATTTAATGAAAGGCCTGGTATCGTTCGAATGTATGATTATTTTTTAATAGGTTTACTAACTAACAAGTTAAGATTCACTTGGTCGAATAAGATATATGATAAATTCTGCAAAGGTTTGGTTTCCTTTTCATGCAAATGGTTAATGTATCCATTTAAGTGAAATCAATAAAACAATTATTCATTTAATTATTCATACTTCATTCTACATTTGATAGAGTTTAATATCACATTGCGATGAATACCGTTTGCAATTCCGCACTTGTATGCTAGCTGATCATCCGTTATAAACCTAAGACATAATATCATCGACAGTGAATTAATATATTCAAATTTAAAACTAAATTAACAATTTTGATCATAAGACATAACCAAAATGAATTAATATTGATTTATTCAATCATCTAAATTGATAATACATTTAAAAAAATATTTTTGGTAAATAATAATAACGAAAAAATCTAACCTGATCGATTCACTGTCGAACCCAGCACTCAAAATATTATACGTATAAACTGAAAACTCTGATCCAATCGATTGTAAAAATGACTTTAAATTGGTCGAATCTATACAGCTATAATCGGCCAACTGTTTTAACTTGTGTAATTCTCTCATAAATCTAGAAATAGTAAAGACAAAATATAAGTAAGTATTTTGTAGTGGTAAATTTTACTATTCTACTAATGTTTCAAATGTTGCGTTGATGATTCAAAATAAATAAAAATGAATTGGAAAAAAATGTCGATACCTAAAAACGTATTTCTGAATAATGTGGATAGTAACATAGCACTGCAAAGAAATTAATTGTATTTATGTTATTATAAATTTTAAAATTTAAAATTTAAACTCTAATACTGTATATATTTGCAACGAAAAACAAATCATAAAATTGAGTATTAAGAACACAAGCACTGTAAATATTTGTAAAAATAACAATAAGTAGGTAATACGTTTTGATTCAATTTTGTGTATCGGTATAAATTAGTTTGGTGGACATTTATACAGTACACATGTCACATAATATCAAAATACGTTGAGGTGTTGGCCACGGGCTTCACAGAACCCCCCTTCTGTGAAGTCTGTGGCCAACACCTCACCGACAAGCACATCTTGACTGAATGTCATGTTTATGACCAGGAGCGAATGGACCTCAACTTGACTGAAACCCTCGACTCAACTCTCGGACCACAACCTGATCAGAACGAAAAAACGCTTAAATTTCTTAAACTATTAAAATTATATAGTATATAATCTAAATTGTTATTAAGTATTGCGAACTAATGACCTTTGCTGCCGAGTTGTTGTTTTTAAGATCAATAAAAAAAAAAAACAACACGTTGATTTCCTTGTAAAGACCAATTTGATTGCAAATTTTTCTAACATTTTATGTGCCAAAAATTACCTCATTTTTTTTTATTTTTCCTGTATGTCATTAAATTATGAAATAAATATACATAATACATTCACATAAGTTAAAATAAAAATTATGGTTTTACAATTTATATTTAAAACTAAAATATTTTAATTTTTCGCTTTTTGTAATCGATATTTTTGAAAACAGATTTTAATCGGAAGTCACATCAAACCTTTACATTTGTTTGAAGTTTGTTTATTTCACACGAAAATAAAAAAGTGATCTAGAGCACTTTTGTGCAGCCAAGCCTATTAATAAAATCAATAGTGTACCAACCTTTTTCGCATAATTCCGTTGGGTATCCCAAAGCGTTCTTTCAAGCATTCTTCGGTCACCATCAACAGCCAATCGCCATCCGCAAAGTTAATCTTGTCGTTCACCAAGCCGGCCCATTCTCCGAAACCAATACTTTTGGTCCACTGGACGACGTCTTCGACCTTCCACAGCGGAACTTTCTGGCTGAGCGGCCGCGGAACTCGTTCGCCGATACTCCGCAACGCTTGTGCCGCTAACCCGGAAGTCACGTCGTCGATGGAACCGGCCAACTTCATCAACGGTTCTACGGCGCCGATAGTCCTGAAAGTTCCTGCTATGTCGCCGTGACGAAGCTCACTCGAAGAAACGGCTTCGGCGCAAAAATGGAAGGCAGCCAATGTGTATGCCTCACGGCGGTCGCAGCTCAAAACCGGGACGAGACACTGCAGCCAACGCCGCCCTTGGCCTAAGACAGGACCGACTAGGGCACCGATTTCGACGAGATCCGCTGGAACGTGTGTGGTTACGAAGGGGTCGATCAGATCCAGGGTATCGCAGTTGGCCATGGCCGCCTCGATGGTCCTGTCGGCCGCCAATACGGCTGTGGCCAGCAGGGCGTAATATTTGACACTATTGTCCTGGTTGAACGCCAACGTAAACAGCCAGGTGTGTGCATGATGACGGACCATCTGATCGTGAACGTCAGTGCCTCCGTACATCGATAAATTTGCAAGTGCACGAGCGCAATTTCGCAGGGTTACGATATCTCGACTCTTGCATTCCGCCAAAAGTACGTCTAACCCGTGCAGTTGGATAACACGCATACACGTACTTTCACTGTGTTCGAATAATTTTGCTAGTAAACCTGTAAGGCATAAAGCAACAGTTTCATTTAGTAAACGTAGGTATCACTTGAATAATTAAAATGATAAAAATTGTCGAAGGAGAGAGAATATCATGTAGTAATCAATTATCCATAATACAATATGCTTTTGAACGTGCGTACATTACAGTACATCTGCATTATACAGGTGTATAATGCTAGCTAGCCCTGTACTGACAATTACGAATACAACAAAAAACAAATTAGCCTAATAGGTACAAATACAAACATTTTTGGAACTTGATTTAAGAAGATATATAGGTATTTTATTTTTTTTAAGTCGTACATTATACATTGAAACCTTCCCCGAGACTTGGCCAAACCCTGAGTGAAAACTTTTCTAAAATTCGTTAAGCACTTTTCGAGATATTCGAGTACATACAAAAAAAGGGCTTAAAAATGCCAACTCTATATTATGATTCAAACTTTGTTCAATTCAATTCCATCATTTGATTTTTGATATAGTTGTACAATCTGACTTCACCCGGGAAAAAAATAATTAATTTATACAAAATACAAAATATTCCGTCGTATATCCCGCGCTTCTTTATTTATTTATTTTTGTTTATCGCGGATACGCAGATATACAGTGGATTGGATACAATGTGCCACCCGGTGGTTTTTGATATAGCTTTATAACCTGACTTTTCACTGAAAAAAAATATCAATTAATAGTTTAATACAAAATATAGTATAATTCTATTATTTGTATTATTGTTGAATCTCGATTTTGATGTAACCCAGTTCAGATTGTAATACGCCAAGGTAAAATATGAAAGAACCTTCGGGTGAGTGTACTTCCCCCGGTGTTTTACTCAGTTTCCCGTAAATAATGCCACCACCCTTTTGATTCAAAATTTGTGTTAAATTCGTTACTTTATCAAATCTCTGTGTTTTTGAGATTGAAATTCAAAATGGATAAAAAAAATATATGTTTGCATAAAATATTACCAGTGCTGACTTTCGATTGGTTGGCAGTTCTCTTCTTTTGGTACGCGTGCACCACATGCATGATTTTAATCAGACCGTGATTCACCACGTAGTCCAGATTTCCTGGGTCGAGACATTCCACCAATAACATGGCGCTGGAGTATTGGAGTCTCGGGTCTTCGGACACACAGTTTTCTATCAACAAATCCGTTCCACCACAATCCCTGAACCTGTTACGCAGCAAATTATTGAGCTCAAGAAAAGACGACGTCAGGCACAACAAGTTCAACAGTTTGTTGAGCACAGTCGGTCTTTGGGCATCGGTGAACTTGCCGGCAACGAGCCCTTTTACTGCGTTTTCCACGAACAGCAAATACTTGTTTACGGCTTTTTCCACATCCCTCGGATGCATGGTATCCCTTATCCGGTCCAGATCATCGAAGTTGGTGTTTAACAGATAGTTGTCAGTCCTGATTTCGGCATGAGTTTTTATCACCAACACCGGTGAATCAGTCTGTGTAACCTAAAACCAACAGCGTTAGCAAAAGTTAGCAACAGTCGATCACCGAGACGGACATATTATTTTCGGGAAATAAAAATTAAATATATCGGAAGATTACTTGATGAGTAATGCAGCCAGCAGCATCTCCAAAGAGCGCAGTCGCCCGATTATCGTTTGTATTGAATGTAAAACTCAACTGTGGTGGCTTAATACTTGGCGATGAAATCATTTGTCTCTGCTGCAACGCGCCTGGAGCCATGGTTATCTTGGTTGGTAAATAAAGTCCCTTCAAACACTATTCAATATAGGGTATTACTTAAATGATTTAAGAGTTGTAAACTGGGAAATACACTAGGTACTATAAATTAGTTATCAACCGATCACTGTTGTATAGGGTTAACTACGTGTATTTTTGTGCATTAAAGTGTATTAGAATATAGTTATAAAAACTCTACATGCACGTGAAAATAAATAATAATAGAAACGAATGATTCACTCGTAAAAACCCTAATAACAATAATTACGAAACGAGCATTGAACGATTGAACAAATCCGAATAACTACACTATATTAAATAATATGTACTTGTCACATAAATAGTTTCTACCTACTAAGTGAAAATATAATAAAGTGATATTTCCAAATGACCGAATCGGCGTGTATATCAGTACGTGATGTAGCATTAACTACACAATCTGTAATAATAATTAGTAGGTACCTACATTGTATACATATATTATGTATCACCATAATTGTTCTCACGTCTATAAGCTAGCTAACGAAAAACATATAGGTATATATAATAAGGTTAACTTCTGATAACATTATAACTCACACTACTATTTGTATACTGAATTAAAAATGAACAAATGACTTAAAAAAAAATACTCAAATAATCCCAAAATACAATTTCTACCATATATATTTGAGAAATACACAAAAAAAAAATATTATTTTAAATTCGATCAAATGTTTTCTCATGAATATTTACAAGTAAATAAAGAGTTAATAAGAACTTTTGTTTTCAATTTATAAACATTTCATAGGTAATAATATTGTTTTCAAATAGTTGTCACTAATATTTACTTTATTCTGCTTTATCTAGTATTTTAATTCATATTTCAAATATGATATATTATTAAGAAATATTTAATACATACCTCTCTAAATCGAGCTAAAAGATTCTTCTTTTTTAGCACAACAACACAGATATTTTAATGTTTGATTTAAGTAAGTTCACCAGTTTTCAAATGTCGATTTTTTTGAGTAAAATAATATAAGAAAAATAAATCGACGACGTGCATCGCACTGGCCGAATAATATGTATAACATGTTTTCCACAAAACTCTATTTATATTGACCACGATTTTGAAAATGAATTAGGAATATCGTTCTTTACAGCGATTGTCACGAACCTATCGGCCGCGGGCAGGTATTACCTATCATGAGCACAGTCGTGGCGTGATAAAGTTATGTAAGGGAGGGGGGCTATACTCTCCTTAACCTCTCTCCCTCATTCTACTCCTATGTTCTTGATCAAATATTAAGATGTGTTCACAAAATTTGATAAATAGTTATTGAAATACCATATCAGCACCAACTCGCCCTCTGATATTTCAAATGTACCCAAGTAACCCGGGGGGGGGGAGGTTACTCCACCCCCCATATGAAATTTAAAATTTAAAAATGTAAGTATTAAGCACGGTAAATACTTTAAGTAAATAAATATTGGTGACAAAATGAATGGTTTAAATGTAACTGATCGTAGCAACTGACCGACAATAAGTAAGGCCAAGCGTACTGTAAGTAACGAAAATAAATACTCAATAATACAGCAACAGTGGGATGAGTGGGAATGAAAAACCGTATTGTTTAGATAGGTTCCTAAATAAACTAGGCAGTGTTGATCAAACTGATGGTGGGAGAGAGGGATGGACCCACCCTCGTGACCTTTTTTCAAAATATTTATAATAGGTAACTTAAATTTAGATATAAAACGGTAACCATAGATTATATTTTGAATGCATTTTGGAAATCATCAACTTGACGAAATCATACGTCCACCACTGACACTAGGTGTTTAAAAAATACCTCCTTATATCTTTATGATTATAATGATATTAATGCTATCCAACAAATTTTTAGTTTTAACTTTTTTATAGGTCTTAACACGTCTTTGTATAAACATTAAACATCATCTACATTGTATTTAGAATATAATATCAAATTTAAATTTAAATATCTTTAGTTATCCTTTTTGGAGTTGCTCTGAGAGATCCAGTACCCTTGTATCCCCGCGCTTAAATACGCCACTGAATATAAGTAAGAAGGAAATGGAGGAAAATATCAAGTAGCACTTGTGTTTGCACTAATATTTTTTTTAAATTCTAACTTACATAGAAAATTAAAATAAACGCTACCTAACCAAATACTAATATGAACAAAATATTTTACTGGGTAATATGATAGTTAAAAATTAACTTAAAAGAAAATATTAAAAACAATTTAAGTCAATTTTTAGTTAACGTAGTATCAAATGAGTAAATTAATTAAAACATCAAATTAGAAGTTTAGTTTAATAATAATAAAATTAATAAAATTACTTTACTTTTTTATGTTCTCGCTACAGTTGTCACTGCGTAAGTTTTATCATTCTCGTGTTTATGAGGAAGTCAGTTTAAACACACCCCCTAGACCTCCTTCTAACCAGAAATATTAAACTGGTTGAAAATATAACATATGTCAACAATCTAAATTGCAAATAAATTTTTTGCAAATTGGAAATCACATAACATTAGTTTTTCTTTTTAAATCGAAAATTAATGTTTGAAATGTTATTTTTTATATATGGTCTTCGAAGAAATTACGATTTCAATTATTTATAATGCTTAACGCACAAGTGTGCTATATTAATAGCTGTACATTTTTATTTTACAAATTTGCGTTATCCATACGCGTATGATAACATATCAAATTCCTACCTACCATACAATTATTGTAGTTACATAGTGGGTACCTATATTATTAAATTCAGTTTATTTTACACTATAAGTGAATACTATATTACTGAAATGGCGCCATAGTTATTAATAATCATTGATAATAGTTATCGTCAAATTTTAATGTCGACATTTGACGAAATCAGTTATTGAAAAACAAAGGTTTTTACTTTTTAGTTATTTTATTGTAATTGAAAAATATTAATCGCAATTCGTGAACATTATGACGTATATTATTACATTCAACATGCAATAGAATTTTCAAAATGTATTTGCTATATCTACCACGAACTTATTCATTTTGTTCTACAGAACTCAGTATTGAGTTGAAATTTGAAATGTCCTTCACATTAATCTACACTTGAAATCTCTAATACAATTATACTGCAGAGTAACTTCCTCAAAATGTTTTGGTTATCTTTTCTTCGTCATTAACAAAAAACAGAGAATAGATTAATATCAACTAATTACTTAAGTACCAACACGATCAAATTTGCTACTTACCAGACACAATGATTAATTTTGAAAGTTACACCAAAATATATACCAACTACAAAACATGATTGACGGGAGTTTGAAAAAATTGAAAAAATATATATCTTTTGTATAGCTATGCTAAGAACAATTATATTTAATTTCTAAAATATAACGATGATAAAAATAAATCATTATCGTCACGCTCGTCGAATATTACGCAGTAAATAAATAATCGTTTTGTTTAAATAGGTATGCACAAGACAAAGCAAGTTAACTATTTTCTTTTTAACTTGTTAAGTTAGGTTAATATAGACAAATGTAAGCTAGGTTTAATGTCCAAATTTGGTACTTATATTTTTTTTTACTTGTAAAAATTATAAATCAATATTAGAAAAAAAGATAACTTAACTTACTTTAAAATTGGTTAATTTTTAATAAAAATGTATGATAAAACAAATATTTTTTTATCATATCAAACATATCATAATAATTTTTAAAGAAAAGAGTGAATCTATAATGCAAATGTTTATTTGACACTGGTGTACACTAGTAATATTTTTCTTTTCTCAATATTTGTTACCCCAGTAACTGTTCTAATTAATATCCATTATCTTATCTAGTTGTACTATATTCTGTGAATATGCAATTACATTATATTATAAAAAGCCATTATTTATTACAATATCACTTATGACTTATTACTATGACACATAAGTGCAACTAGGGGCTGTCGACGGCTTATTCTACCCAAAAATTGCATGTAGCCTTTTCGATATAAATTAATCTTCAAAGTCTTATAATAACAATTCAAATTGAATAAATAATAATTATTAGGTAATAAAGCATTTAATATAATTTACAGTAAAATACTGCAAGTGACATGCACAATGCACATATTATCCAATGCACATGCCAACGATATAACAACAAAGTAATAGACATTAATTAACTAGACATTTAAGTTAAAAGTGTATAATGTACTTATAAATACCATTTAAAACCTTGATAAATGTTAATTCACCTGACTTTAAATTTTTTAAGTAAGACTTGAAACAAGTTGTGAACACTCTCATTAGTAATGATGAAATAAAAATCAAAGTAAAGTAAAAATAATTATTTTGTCATTTATAATTTTTTTTTATTATTATATTATTTGTTATTATTAGGGTTAAAGTGTGGATATAGCTCCAACGGGTAACTTTTTAGAAAAATGTTTGGGCTAGTTGCGCTACTGACTTTATTTAACCATATATCTTATTTTCTCGTTAGGTTAGAGTAGAGTACTTCCTTTTGTGGTCAGTTTTATAATCTAATGCGCATAAAAATGATTACATATTGTATTTTATTATTATTTTTTAGGCATGTGGAATACCATATTATACGTACCCATAATTCATAAAATCTGGATTGCAATATTGTCTACCGTTTATAAAAATACAACGTAAATTAAAACATTTTATATTAGATAATTTTTTGATAAGCATGCAAATACAATTTTACTATGTAGTTTCTACTAATTTATTTTGAGAAAACACCATTTTTTTAGTTGTTATAATTTCACCAGTAAATACGATTGTAATGTAAGCTATATAGAGGTGGAAAAACATCAAATATAGAAATGGTTTAGTTTATACACAGTTTTATGAATCGAAATTAAGCTTTCGTTAAGTTTCAAGTATCAATATTAAGATCTACTACCACCAATCGTAGTAATTTCCATTCAAGCGTACATCGAGCACGTTTTTACGTACTTGCACCAGGCCATATTTTGCCTGAGTTTGGGGTCCTTTTTGGAGAAACATTGGTTCATATCGACCCATCTTTTGATTTAGTGAGAACAGGAACCGTACCAAAACATCAATAAGTGGAGATAATCCAACGTCTCCCCACCCAGAAGAAAAATTTATTTATTCATAATTTGAATACCCGGGATATTATATCCTCATATTTAGCACGCAAGTAAGTTTACTATAGGTTATTTTATCATTCAGGATATAGGTTCTTTGTCATTTAGACTAAGTCCGGAGTTTTTCATTAATTAGATTACATAAGTGTTGATGGAGGTTTCCATATTTATTGATATTAGAAGCAGTAATATAAGAAGGGCTTGGAGTAGAGTTTTGAATCACGTCTATGAAGGGTTGCACCTATATTTTGAGGTGTATCAATTTCAGAAGGTATGTATATGTATGGTAGATTAACGAACAGGACATTGGTACAGTTAAAAAAATAACTAGTGCTGTTGATATTTTTGATATTTTAATATTTTATTTAGGTTATTTGATTTTGAAGTTTATTTTCATCACGTGAATTGTGAGTGGTGTTTAATCTTAATCTTTTATGGGAAATCGTCGTCATTTTAAATAATAGTAGTCACTATAGATAATGTAAAAACAGTTTTACTAAATTCTCTATATTAATAGCAGTTATTGAAACAAAAGAGCAGTATGACAAATTCCGTAAAAATTGCGATAAAGACTCGTAGGTATACACCGTAAACACATTACACATAGCATAAGAAATAAGCCCAACACTCACTGTGTTTTCGTCCTATTTTGCGAATGTGCATCGTCTTGTGTTTTCGAGTATATATACTACACACTGCATTATAAAAAATTGAATGTACACATGTATACCTAGAGTCAAATTGTTGGTTGCATTTATAAATTATACATATGCTCATTAAAAGATATGCGCAGCCATATCATTGAGCATACCTACTTCTTATTCCTTATATTATGCTATATATGCGTAAACATACATTTCAGCCTCTTTAACAGCCGCTCATTAATAATGCACTATAATTAACCATATCCATCAGTTACATCCGAAAATAACAAACTTATAGATAACGGTGTCGTAAGCTTTTAACAATAATTAATTTATAACTACCATACATACCTTTGGTGATCTACAAATGTTTCTCACAGGTATCAGAAGTGTCAA